AATATAAACAATCTTTATTCTCTTTTGTTTTAATTTTTATAATTTTTGCATGACAGTTTGACAGGCATTCAATTTTACAGGTCCTAACTCTTCTTGCAAATTAACAGTAGAAAATTCAATACAATATTTTATTTGTATATATAATCATATATACACATATATACATTTGTATGTATATGAACATGCATATATATAAATATATATATGTTAAGGTATTCTTTGCATGAATTCCATGCCCTTTGCTTGAGAGTTTTCCAATTCTGCATATACATACATATAAATATATATATATATGTTTAAGCATTCTCTGTTTTAGTTAAGAATTTGTTATAAAGAATTAGCTGTCTGTGTCTGTGTGTGTAGGGTGTGTCTGTGTGTCCAAGTATGCTATTTTTATTTGTTATATATTTATAATGCCTTAGATCTAATATTTGCAGACTTAACACTAAATAACTGCATTTTACGCATACTCAAAAATGTTTTTCTCCAGCTTTTATATATATAAATTTATATATATTTGTAGGTGTGTGTATATATGTTTATATACACATACATATATATTAGATCAAGCAAATGTGCCGTTACGCACTTATGTATTAAATCCACGCGCTCTGTTCAGCTCAGCTCAAAAAAACTATTTTGAATATGTAAAATTTGACAGTTTCTCCGGCTATATACAAATCGGGTGAATCTATTATCAAAGTGCCTAACAGTACAGCTCGGTCTATGTGGATGTGTGAGTGGGAGTGTGAGTGTGGGCGTAAAGGTGTATGCTCACAGCTGCCAAGCCCCAGCTCACTCAATAATGCTGCCCAACAGTAGACCACCCACCGGCACGCCCACGTCTGTGTCCATGCTTATGCCCTCAAGCAGGGGCTATGCAGTGGTTGTCGAGTGCTCCGATTTGAGGGGCACGCCCATCAGAGCCATCGCCGCCTGCGTATTGGCATACATGCTGACGTTCGCCCCTCCCCCGTTGGCCACCGGCGCAGTCGTTGAGCTCGCGGGCACAGCGGCTGTGATGCTGGTGCTGGAGCTAGCGGCCGCTGTGGTGGGTCCCATAGCACCGCCGCCACCTATATAGTCGCTGGTGGTGCTGACAGCCGAGACGGAGCCACCGGGCACGGGTAGCGGCAGCGTGTGCACGGGCAGCGTGTGGAGCTGCTGGTGCTGTTGCTGTTGATGCAGTGGCTGTTGTTGGGCGGCGGCAGCGAGCGCCGCCTGGGAGGATGTAGAGGCGGAGTCGGCGTCCAGACCGGCGGTTATGGCGCCGCCGACAGCGCCACGCATCCGCTCGGCGCGTCGCTCCTGCTCCTCCTGCTGGGCCTGGAGATGGGATTGAACTGAGGGCGGTATGGCGTGCACGTCCCAGATCTCCTCCAGGAACTTGGGCAGCTTGCGATTCTTGAGCTTGAGCGAGAAACACATCTCCGCGTTCTGGTTGCCCAGCGTGCGCAGCTCGGTGAGTATGGAGAGTAGTTTGGCGTAGAAGACGAGACTCCTGGAGTCGCCGCAGTGGCGATTGAGTATATAAATGCGTAGCGTGTCGATGTAGTAGCTCTGTATCGCTTCCACCAGCTGGGCCTTCTCCAGGCCCGGCCGGTCCGAGAAGATCACAATGGCAGTGAGTAGCGCGTACTCCACGTTGTCCACCTTCATCGAGAACATCTGCCTGCAGAAGTGCAGCAGATCCTCAATGTTGTCCGCCATTCCGGCCATCTTGTACGAGTCGCGCGTATACGATCGATTGTTCGCGAAGAATATCGAGTCCGAACTGTGATCATAGCGTCGAGCCATTCGCAGCATCATCACCTCAGACGAGCAGGCCTGCAAGCAATGTCAATAATTATCGATCTCGATCTCGACCTCAATTCTCGATTCTCGATTCTGGTTTGCTGATCGCCAATACTCACCTTGAGTAACGTGATCTGATCCTCTTGCGGTATCTTTGTAAACGCTGGTAATCCTTTCGCAAATTCCACGATCAACTGCACTGTGAGTATGGTTATCTCGGTGATGTGCCGAAAGCTGACATCCGTCTGACTCTCATTCTCATCGGGTTGACTCTGCATAGTGGGAAACGAGAGACAAGGGAGATGAGAGCAAGTTGTGGAAGAGTGTTTGGAATACAACTTATCAAGGCCACTAGGAATTCTTATGTTGAAGGAAGAGCCGCGATTCGTGGAAGACTTACCATAATACGCTTGAGATCCTCTTCGGATGGCTGCTCATAGCCATCCTGATACCAAATTAATTTATATATAACGGCCAATTGATTGAACGTTAATGGAGGTATATTGCGCGCTTGACACTCGGCCAAAATATCATCAGGTAGTAGCTGTAGAGAGAGTCATCGTTAAGTGGCGATAGTCGACACCTGGGGATGGGAGTGGACTTACCGGAATTGTGGCATGCTGGGGGGGCTCGCACGTCATGAGGTCGAGAATTTCCTTCTTGACATAGTCGTGGGTGCCGTGGAGAGCTCCAGCGGGGCCGCCGGCGCTGTGCTGTGAGCTGGGGGAGCTGGAGACCTTGTCCTTCTCCTTCTGGGCCTTCTTCTCGCGCCGCTTCATCGCGCACTGGTTCTCCGGCACCACGCACTCCGGTCGCATGCCCACGGCCAGGCACTTCTTCAGCCGGCACTCCTGGCACTTGCGCCGCATGTACATGTCCATCTCGCAGGCCCGTCCAAACTTGCAGCAGTAGTGCGCATTCTTCGTCACGCTGCGCCGGAAGAAGCCCTTGCAGCCCTCGCAGGTGAGCGCGTTGTAATGATAGCCGGACGCTCGATCGCCGCAGACCAGGCACAGCTCCTCCTGCAGCCGGGGCGCCGGGCCCTTCTTGCTCTTCTTCGCATCGCAGCTCTCGTTGGCCGAGTAGCCGTTGAGGCTGCTCGAGGGCGAGAGATCATCGCGACCTGCAAATGGATCCAAATTCCAGATTCGATTATTCTTTTGCTGGCCTTTTTTCACGATTTCCGTGAATTTGTTAAAATCGAAATCATTTGTTGTTGGCTTACATAAAACATTAGACCCAAATAAATAAATTTTGATTCGACAAATTTGCATGTGAAAAATTGAAAATCAAGAGAGAATAAATTCAAAAACGAATTCCCCAGCGAGCCGTCGAACAGCCACAAGTTCTTTCAAGTTCCAAGCGTCTAGCTGTATATCTACGTAAGAATATATAATTTCGAACTGGCTGTATCTGTGTCTGTCTTTCTAGATGTATCTGTGTCTGCAAACGGGGTCTCCAAGCAGAGCAGTGGACAAAGGCTCGATAAAATATTTAACATTCAATTACCATGCGCTCAAAAATCATAGCACGCGAAGAATTCGACGGCATAAGAACGAGATAAATCTAAACAAAATAGATGGCAATAAAATAACTCAGAAACATCCAATGGAAAGGGGAGAACTATGTACGGATCACGTCAATGTCGGCCGTAGTGCTCAATTCTGGAAGCTTTATTTGTTACAAACTTGTTTCAAGCTCAATAATTTTTGAATTCAGTCAGTTATTATAATTATCTGATATAGATAATGGAAGTTATAGCAATCATCAGAATTCAGAATGGGAGGTCAAAGGCCAGTACAGATGTTGCCATATTCTGAAGTGGAATTTGGTGTGGAATATAAAGTCAAAGTGGATGTCGTTGGAAATCTAAATGAATGCATGAAACGAGTCAAGTCGATGTGGAATGCATGTGGATCACGTTTATGACTTGGAATGTCAGAGTCTGAAAGAAATGCATATTTGACAGCATATGAAGATATGGAAATTAATCTATGTGTATCGTATGTGTATCCTGTGTGGGTGCTATGTTAACTCTGTCCACTGATTCATTATACATACCCATAATCTTAGACCTGATCTTCATTAGGCATAATCTATTCTTCTTTGATGTTAGTTGACCAAAGGGACTCGTGTCGATTTGAATATTGACTTTTAGCTCGGGCAGGAAACTGAGGGCTGTGGACTGTGTACTCTGAAGAGCCCTGGCTCAGCTGCACTCATACAAATAGTCACGTTCAGGGCGCCCATTAGAAGGCGGCGGAGAAGGAGCGGGCATATCAAGTGCAAGTAGTTGTGTGTGCAAAGACAGTAATAATCGGGCAGTCTGATGGATGGATGGATGGATGGATGGCTAGATGGGTAGATGGGCGGACAGGCGGATGGGGCGTGTCCTAAGTAGATAAAAAGCTACAACAAAGAGGCGTTGCGGCTGCGACTTCGGCATGCAGCTTAGAGACGCAAGACACTTGACTAAGAAGCCAAAGCACGAGCACTAAAAAACACTTGGACGACAAGTGCAAAAGCTGTGCCACGCCCACACCCACGCCCATCGCAGTCCGCTGTGAGGAGTGCAGCGCGGTGTGCTGTCGGCATAGCACAGTTTTTTTCTTCTCATTCTCGCCTCTTCCTTGGTTGGATGCATGCCACACGCTGCACCTGCTGCTGCCTCTGCAACTGCAACTGCTGCTGCTGCAATGAAATATTGCGCATACACCATGTACTCCCGCCTCGCCCACTTTCCCTATGCACACACAGTTGTTGCTGCCCCGTTTCAATTTCACTGCCACAGCAAAAGCAAAAACAAGAGAGAAACAAGTAAAAAGCTTCGCGCTAAATAATATGAAAAAAAAAACGCGGCGTCATGCGAACTTCGTCTGCTTCAGCAACGACAACGACGACGACGACGGCGACGCCAACTTGACTGCAAAAATTTTCACTACAGCGTGCAACTTGCAGTGTGTGGCATGTGGTATGTGTGTGTGCGTGTGTGTGGCATGTGTGTGTGTGTGTGCGCTTGGTAAATGAAAAATGCAGTAAATTGCTGTTGCGGCCAAAGAAAAAGTGTGTAGCAACAACAACAACAACAAGAACAACAATGGCAGCAGCAGCAGCAGCAGCAGCAAAGAAAACGACAGAAAAAAAAGTAAAAACCTGACCAACCACACAATCAACATACACACACACACACACACACACACACACACACACACAGAGCTGCGTGTGTGTGGCTCCCTAGGCGTTTTTTTTTTTTCTTTTTCTCTTTTATCGCTGACAGCGTCATGCAATGTTTGGCATTTTCATGGCTTGTTTGAGCTATGCAGCAACAACAACAACAACAACAGCTAAGCAACTTATTTTAATCACCATGTTTGAGCCACGACTAGCTAAGCTTCAACGCTGATAATACAGAAAACATTAATGGAATTTCTTTGGTTGCAAATTTAACACCACATTGATTCGAGCTTGCCAAACTGAAGAGATTAACTTGAGCTGAAATCCATTTAATTAGCTACTCAAACATTTGCCAACGCTATGGAATGCCTTAAGTGCACTTTGAAAGGATTAAGCCGAAAATATAAAATCAATATGTGGTTGAAAATGCTTAATTTAGAAATGAGCGAGGAAGGAATCTATGTGGATCGTATACTTGTGGAATCTAATGATATAGTTACAATGATGAATAGTCTAGATCTAATAGCGATACTTGGCGACTTATATAAAATGGATCGTGTGGATGCCATGGGGAATGTACCCATATTAAACTACAATCGAGTCTCTGACATTTCATTCATAAATTTCCCATTCATTAATAAGCTTTCCATGTATCGAATCTAATATTCAATGACCTTCCATAGTGTGGATGCCATTTGGATTACGTGTTGAAATTTATACAGTCCAATTACACGTTAAAATTGCAAATTACATTAATGGAGTAAGCATGTGGGTCATATGTTTACCAAAATATGAGAGCATTGTGTGGATTGTATGTGGAACATATGCATGTGTTTGCAGATATCTTTTATGAAAATATGGATGTAATGTGCAGATCAAACTCTGTAAGACTCAGAAGCCAATGCTTTCTACTTTCCACAATTCTAATGGAAAAACTGTATGTTTGCGTATAATCTGATGGTCTTGAATAAAACTGAAGTTGGCGCCAGGTGGCGCTAGAGCAGATGAGAGCTGTGTGTGAGGTAAGCTGCGTCAGCAGTGATTGGCCGCCATTTTGAGTTCGAAATTACCTCAGGTTGGAGGCGGTGCGGTCTGGTGTAACGCGTAAGGCATCAGCCAAATGAATTATTATATTCCATATACAAAATATAATAATAAATAAAAGCTACAACAACTACAACCAGTGCAACAAGAAACACAATCAAAGCGCCACATTTCATTTTGCACTATGAAAAGACTTTTTCTGCACTCGCACAGCACCAAAGAACGCCATGAAGTAACCAAACAAAGGCGGGCAATGGGAAAAAATGAGAGGAGCAGAAGAGAAAGAAGAGAAAAAAATAAACGGAAATATAGACGCCAAGCAAAGCACAAAAACAAAACACAAAAGGCAGCCAGCGACGATGGCGACCTCCATGCCTCATGCCTCATGCCTCATGCCTCATAGCTCCCTCTCACTCCCTCTCCCATTCACTCCACACACCATTCAAAAGCCGAGCCCGGCCTCTGCCCACATTTGGAGTTCATTGTGTTATTGTGCTTGGTCGTCTCTCGGTCTCGGTCTCGGCGCAACGCTGMGCCGCACTACATACCCACATAATCCATGTAAACGTCCAAAAGCTACGCGGTAACTGAGATGGAGACGAAGGCGGCGACGACGGCAGCGGCGGCGACGGAGGAACGGGCAGCGACAGCAAGAGCAACAGAAGCCATAGCTATGGCCACGAGAGCACAACACAAACTGGGAAACTGCAGTCGACGTCGCCGCCGTCAGCCGTCAGCAGCCAGCCGCCAAACAACAAGCACAGCAGCTAGCCGCGGCGCTGGCGCTCAAGCACCAATACACAAGCAAACAACAACCGCAACAGCTCGCATATGTAGCGGCCGCTCTCTCAGTCTTTACTGCACTCTCACGATTTACAGAGCGCGCTCTCTCACTCTCTCGCTCAATGTCTCCCTCTCTCTCGCTCTCTCTCTCTCTCTCTCTCTCATTCTCGCGCTGGGAGCTGTTGCAAAAGCAGAAAAATGTTGATGTAGGCCTCGAATATGCAGTTTGCCTTTGGCATTGCCACTGTCACTGCAAGCAGCGCTGCCAGCGTAGGTCCCCCTCTTGGGCTATGCAGCCCTGTTTGTTCCTCTGCTCTGAGAGTATATATATATATATATATGTGTGTGTGTGTGTGAATTGCATGTCGCACACAATTTGAGCGTGGTATAGGTAAGTTCTCCCTTCTTTTTTCTGTTTTCTGCTTGTCCGTTTTGCGTGCATTTTTGTTCTATGCCAAGAATTGAAACTTTTTATCTGCTTTTCCTTTTTTTCTGTTTTTTTTTTTTTATATATCATTATTTGTGCTCTACTCTAGTCGTCGTTTTCCATGGCAAAATGTTTTGTTGTGCTTGCTTCAATGCATATTTTTAAGCGGCTTTTTCTATGTGTGCGAGTGAGTGAGTGTGTGCGTATTTGTGGAGGAAGTGAGCTGAGAGGCGGGGGAAGTGCTTTGCAAATAGCGCCTTTGGCTGCAGCCTAGCAAAATAGATATGTGAATATGGCAGTGGCCAGGCAGTCTTCGTAGATCCCATCTTCTGCTGTTGCTCCAACCCTCCTCAGGCGCATTGTCGCTACAGCTCTGCCGTGGCTCTGCTGCGGTATTAGCAAGTTGAAATCTAGTCGACTGAAAGTCATGAAAAAGTCAGACGGCAAAATCAACAACAACAACAGCAACAACGGCTTGTTTGCTTGTACGATTTGCAGTTGAGCTGTAGCTACAATATAAACACAAATACACACACACACATACACATACATATATATATACATATGTATGCATACACAGAGCATCTATATCATCTCACATCATATATGCATATGAAAAATAAAAAAAAGCGTCACGCCATACGTATGTATATATGCATACGTAGATCTGACGATATATTTTTTGCAATTACAGA